TTTTGAACAACTTTTTATGTAAGTAGTAAAAAAACCAACTTTGTCTTTTTGTATATTCAAATTTTAACTTTCTTGTTTTTAATATTGGTATTTTTACTCTCTCTTTTAGTAAACTGATGATGGAATGATACAATTCCGAAAAGATCTTCTTTATAATAAAAAAATTTTAAGCTTTTAATAAGCGGTTTTTTTATACCTTAATACACACGAACACCACGTGCTTTGTATTCAACAGGTATACTAGCCACTCCAGGATATCTCCACTTCATGGTTTGTTCCAGTTTCACGTTTAAGAATCCAAGTTCCTCTACATAATTAAGATATATATATATATATATATATATATATATATATATATATATATATATATATATATATATATATATATATATATATATATATATATATATATATATAACGGATTGATTACGACTGTCGCCGCTTCTCGGCCCACTATTTCCATCTTTTTCTGTCATATGGAGTTGCCTCTTCTAAGTCTCTTGCCGCCATTGCTTCATCAATATCGTTGTGCCAAATTCTCCGTGGTCATCCTCTCTTTCTTCTTTCAGGAAGGATCCATTCCAGTACTCTTCTAGGCCATCTGTACTCTGGCATTCTTTTAACATGTCCGAACCTGATTAATTGTTTTCTTTTTATGTCATCATTGATATTTCGCATCATTTTCATTTCGTTTGTTATTTATTCGTTTATTACTCTCTTAAGTTTAGATCTACCACAGCTTCGTCTCAGATAATCCATTTCTGTCGTCATAAGTTTGTTTCTATTAGCCTTGGTGACGTCCGATACTTCCGAACCACAAAGTGTAATACTTTGGTCCGCAAATGTGTTTTTTGGTTTCTCGTCGAATTGTTTTTTTCCAGAGAAGAGAGTTTAAAGCACAGGTCGCTGCTCTGCCCTTGTTTATTCTTTCCCTGATTTCATCTGCGCTATTTCTCTTCTTGTTGAAAATGACCCCCAAATATTTGCAGGATTGTAAGCCTTTAATTTTGTCGTCTTTCAAGACTAGGTCACATATTTCATCTGTTCCCACTGAGAGATATTCACATTTTGTCATATTCATGTTAAGACCTGCCACCTCATATTCTTCTTGCAGTTTACTTACCATCTAGCTAAGATCGCAGTTGTCTTTTGCAATTACTACCTGGTTATCCACAAAGAAAAGTGTATATAGCGTGTTTTCTTCCACCGTTATTTCCATGTTTCTACATTTTTTTACCCATTTCACTAAGGATCAGTCCAAATAGATTTTAAATGAGGTAGGTGACAGAGAGCAGCCTTGTCCCTTTGTTGTTTGAAAAGGAGAGGTGATTTCTTGTCCCATTTTAATTCTTGCAAGCGGATACTAAGATGTTCTTAATTTAAATATTAGTATAAATATAAGTTCTTTGGTTGTATTTGGTGACTTTTCGTAAAACACATTGCATTGGTTTTGTGGGTATTGAACTGAAATTTCGTGAATTCCCATTTTCAATATGATTTATGGCTTTTAGACATGATTATGGATTGTTTTTAGGTTATTGTCTCTGCTGCAAAGTAAACCTAAACGTGCATGACCTAAATAAATTTCTCATATAACCTAACTTCTACAGGATGTTTAATTTTTACTGTAATAGAGTTTATTGTTATAGGAAAAAGAAGTTTTGTTAAGGTTCGAGCTTTGTGGTATACCATTTTTTGAGTTCTTGTTAGAGAATACACGTCGTCTACTCTGACTTGAAACTGTCTATTTTCTGATAAATTTGATATGGATTTTTTAATATATAACCTTAATATAATTATGTATATAATTAAATAGAACTTTAAATAGGTCTTACTAATATCGAAAAATATTCCGATACAGTGTTATTTTATTGTGAAAGCTTCTATATTTCCGATTCCACATCAACAAGATTATCTGCAATAGAAGGATGTTTTCGGAAATCACTCCCTATGTTCTGATTTAATTAATTTGTTTGATTCCAGATACCCCATAAATCTGATCCTCCTCCTCAGTCCTAATCCCTTTTGGAATGTGATGACACCATCAGGACTTTACAGTTTTTTCACCATTTTCCTCCATTATTCTCTGTCCTGGGCTAGTTGTTTGGCTTCATGTAACCCTTGGTTAATAAATATTTTTATTTGATCTACAACGGCTTGGAGATCTTCCCATAGGTCTCTTGCCTTCAACTCTACCCTCGACTATCAGTTTTTCCATCGTACCTGTTCTTCTAGCAATGTGTCTAAATTACTGCAAATATCCCTGTTGTATTTGTTTAAACAATCTATCCTTTACTTTAAGTTGTTCTAATATCGATAGGTATGTATTTGTTTAAACAAACTATCCTTTACTTTAAGTTGTTCTAATATCGATACGTTAGTGCGATGATCAATCCAGGATATTTTTAACATGCGGCGGTATATCCACATTTCAAAAGCGTCCAGTTTATTTTTATCCTCTTCCTTTAAGGTCCACGTTTCTTATACATATGTGGCATGGGAAAAATGAGCGCCCTTACCAGGCTTAGTTTTGTGTGTATTGTTATGCTTGAATTTTTTCAAATTGCTACCAGTTTTATCATAGCTGTTTACGTATTTCTCTCTCACACTATCCATCATTTGTTATTAGGGACCCCAGGTATATGAAAGTATTTACTACTTCAAAGCCCCCAATTTCTTTAATGTGTTGAAGACTATTTCGAGCTCTGTCTACTATCATGATATTTGTCTTACTCCTATTTAGCTTTCATCTCATTATGTCTTCCATTTCTTCTTGATTTACCGCAATTATTAAAGTTTCATCAGCATATCTCAAGTTATTGATTTTTTGACCTACTACTGATATTCCGCCCTTCCATCCATCTAGTTCTTTTCGCATAATGTGTTCGCTGTAAATATTAAATAGAGTTGGCGAGAATATGCATCCCTGCCTGACACCTGCATCTGTTCTAAAATGATCGGAATACGTGTTGTTTATCTTTACTATGCACTTATTATTTTCATATAAAGTTCTAATTAGTTGAAATAAGTGGTGAGGTGTTTCCATTTTCGCTAGTATGGACCACAGCTGCATCGAAGGCGTTTGTATAATCCACAAAGCACATAAGCATAGGAGTATTGAATTCACGAGTTTCTTCGATTAGCTGTCTGAGATTAAGGATGTGTTCTCTTGTGCCTTTTCCTGGAAAAATCCCGCTTGGTCTTCTGATATCTGAGGCAATAGAAAAGCTTTTAATCTTTTATGTATTACATGAAGTAGAACCTTACTTGCATGGGATATTAGGGTTACCGTTCTATAGTTGCTGCAATCTAGCGGAGTTCCTTTTTTGAATATAGGGATGAAAGTGGATGTTGTCCAGTCGTTGGGCCACTCTCCGGTTTGCCAAATCTTTTTGCAGATCATATGCATAACATTTACTTCAACATCTCCAGTCTCTTTTGAAACTTCCGCGGTGATCTCGTCTGTGCCAGGAGATATTCTATTTTTCAATATTTTGATTGCTTTTTCTACCTCTGACTTTAGAATGTTTGGTTCTCTCTCTGCAGTGAACTCATCGTAATTTGCATTCTGGGGATCATCTGCATATAGACTTTGACAATATTTTCTCCATACTTTCGGAATACCTTTTTCGTCATTTCTAATATGTTGGTTTTGATCCATTATTATTTGTGTGATTGGTTTAAATTGCCTGGATTGATATTAGATTTTGTTATATAGCTCATGGGATTCATACTAATTTTGCATGTCTCTCTAGTTCTTCGCATTCTTTATGTATATATTTATATTTATCATCCCTACATGCTCTTTTAATTTCTCTATTTAAGCTTGCTAATTCGTTTTTGTTGTTGTCGTTTTGATATATGAGAAATTGGATTCTTCTTAGCTCTTCGAGAAGTTGCAGCGTTTTGTCTATCATCCAGTGTTTATTTTTTGATAATATTTTTTTTCCGTTACAATTGTTGCTACAAAGGTTTCGATGGCATTTCTGAAACCTTTACACATTTCTTCTGTGTAGTCTTGTGTGTTTAACATACCAGTTTTCTTTAATGCATCTCTAAATGTTTTCGGATTTGAAATCTCCAGCCTGTTTTGATTTTGGTGCAGCATTGTTCTTTTTAGCTTCATCTTGAAGCAAGACCATAACAATTTATGATCAGATCCACATTCAGCTCTTGGTCTAGTTTTTACGTTAGTAAAACCTGTCTTCCGTCTGTTTCTAATCAATATGTAGCATAATGTTTAAACGTTGTGTTTACTATGGCCAAACTGTTTTCGGTTGCAAAATCTATTAAACGTTCACCTCGGCTGTTTCTAACACCTAACCCATAGTTTCCTACATTTTGGATGTTATCATTTCTTGTTTCTCCCACCTTAGCGTTAAAATCGCCCATGATTACGAGTGGTTCTTTAGATGGAATATTTCTTACTGCGTCTTTAATAACGGAGTATACGTTTTCCACTTCATTGTCTAACGCGTCTGAGGTTGGCATGTAGACCTGAAGAATGTGCATTTTGTTTGGTGATGCTCGTAATGTTATTTTTATAAGTATATCGTTTATCGGTTGGTAATCATACACGTATTCTAAAACTTTTTTAGTCGGCATAATTGCAACACCATTTCTTCCTGTGTTATTGGCTCCCGATATGTATACAACATGATCTGCCGTTTGGAAGTGTCCTTGTCCTTTCCAATGGGTATCCGAAAGTCCGCATATTTCTATATCCTCTCTTTCGACTTTTCTTTGTAGTATATGCAGTTTGCATGGTTGCAATAATCCTCGAACATTCCAGGTTGCTATTCCCATTGCTTTTCTTAACTGAAAATCTGATTTTCTTCCAGGCACCAATTTCCCTGCTGTTGCCTGGTTGCTCACAAACACATGCACATAAATCTGATATTTATTATTTTATCTAGCATTTTATCCATACCACAAGAGATATTATGTCTTGAAAGTACTTTTGCGAATGTAGTGAACTGTAAAGAATATAAATAAATAAATAGATATAATAAATATATTATTTCCACAAATTAGCAATAAATTTTACCTACAACATGTAATTAATATATGAAACAGATAAATTATTACATAAATATAAATATTATTTTTAAAGCAATTATAGTGCGCTTTATTATTCGATTGTTCCGTTGTTGTTGTTGCTGGTGTTATTGTTGTTAGGGCACCATTATCAATATATAACTGCTGTCGTGCTAAAATTTTCTTATTGATTATTTCATTAACGTCCCTAGCAATATTGAAATCCAGATGTGTCCATCTTCTATAAGGAATTAAGTATTCCACAGCATTTGGTAGTTCGTTTTTAAGTCGTTTTACATCCTAGAATACCAAATAACGTATTTATTACACCAGTACATTATATTCGTTTACTAAAAATCTACAAATATTACAATATTACACATATAGGGGAAGGTGAGGTAAAATGGGATACTTAACGTTTGAGGCTGTATAACACCGAAACTATTTATTGGAGGCTACTCATATTTTGCACAGTGAAAACTCATTATTCTTGTATCAAAAGAATAAAAATGATTTTTTTTATAAATGTATAAAAAAGTTATATGCAAAAATTTAATACCAATACAATTTTCCATTTTACCCCAACTGTGTGGGTAAAACGGGATACACCGTGGGGGTAAAATGGAATAGGATTTTTCTATTTTCGGTTATACCGAAATTATAATTGTATTTTTATATAGTTATTAATATTGTAATATTTAAGTAATGTCTACTAAATTTTCTCCAGCTAAAGATGAAAGAATATTGGATCTAGTACAAATTGCAGTTCCAAATGAATTACTGGAAAGTCTAAAATATTCTCGAAATTTTTCCTCGTTTTGAAACAATCTTTCTTCGACTGTTAATTTACAAACACCTTCTGTATTAAAACATGAAAAAAGTTCGTTTACATTTTTATTTCTTTTATTTACATTCAACGTTATCAACTCTTCTTCTTCCTCCTCTTTTTGAAGTAATAAAATTATTGCATTAAGTTTGCGAGAATTCATTTTTTTAAATGTACAATCTTTGAGAGGATAAACTTGAAACCAATTTCTTAACTTGTTTTCAGAGCGACAGAATATTTACGCGAAATAATCTAACACCCAAAACTGCCGTGAGTCGAGTACAACAGATTCTGCTGTGCGCTGCGCACTGTTCTAACAAACCTTAGTAGCTTTAATCTCTTAATAGCTAAATAAGAAATAACGATGGGCTAAACCCAAAAAATACCCAATATTAATAGGACTAATAATACAGAACATTTTTCCTAAATATTAATAGGAATAATAATACCAATCATTTTGCTTAAATATTAATAGAAATAATAATGCCGAACATTTTTCTTAACTTAATTATATCTGCAATATTCGCAAATAAATACATCATCATCGCTGTCAGCTCCTTCACAAGCCTCATGTCCCCATTTTTACAATTTCAACATTATATCCAGCCTTCTCCTTTTTTGTCGAAAAATATTGAAAAATATCTATTGTTGCAATAAAAGCATTCCTCATCTGCACTACTGACACTTGTATCTTCAGGTTGTATGTTTTAGTCTTCTTGGAAGTATTTTCTTTTATTACGGTTTTCTACTTTAGTGACTTTTTGGAAACCATTAATGGCATTTTAATGGAGTAGATGCTCGTAGTTAAGCTTACCCATATAGGTGGGGCACCTTATCAGGCATAGTTACGCATCACCCTGGATGATGTCTCAGTCACACTTGTATTTCTTGAGTATAAAATATACTTAACTGATACGTGAAGAAAACATCCAAGGACTGCATCCTATGGCTCGTATGAGAAGGCAGGCAAATTATTGTCACTCCATTTTCACGTGCTTTATCAATAATAGCAATATTTTGTGTATTGCTTTTAAAGCCATCTAAGATTAGAAGTGATGTATTTTCTTTTGATGTTTAAGTGTAATGAATAAAATGGTCAAACCATTGTTCAAACAAGTTAGGCTTCATCCAACCAAATTTATCAGTAACGACTAAGGTTCCTGGCGGTGCATCCTCTGAGAACTGCGGCTTCATACAAACTCTAAGAATTAGGATCATAGGAGGAACAAATATTCCACAGTAGAAAGCTCCCCTCATTCTGCAGTTGTTAGGGTGCAAAACTGTTTTCTACCCTTGACAGCAATTACTTTTAATGGTCGACCTTGAACTGTTGTAATCCCGGTTTAAAAATACGGGAGGGTGGAAAGTTTATTTTCCACCTTCCCGTATTTATATACAAAAATCACTAGTATATAAATAATTATTTTAATTTAGTATACCTTTACATCTGCAAGAAAGTCATTCTCACCATAATACAAGTCCACTGGAGTTGTAATTAAAGAGACATTAAAGTTTGGAGGGATCTTAGAGCCATACAGTTTAAGATTTTTTGTAGATCCATAGTCGTATCTGCGAAAATGACCTAAAACAATACATGATGCTAATATTTGTTTTGTAGCTTGGACTGAACTGTAAGAATCTAATGTTTTCTAACTTTTCTAACCTAACTTTTTTTCGTCTTTATAGAGAGAGGGTCTGGAATCTTCAAAAGATGCCATCTCAGTCCAGGACACCGCCTGACTCACCTTAGTGCAGGATTCGTTCTTCGTACTCCCAGCGATAGTTCTCAAGGTACTCTAAAATGCCCTCTAGTCGCCGAGTCTACGCCAAACGTCTTCCTGCTAAACTACAGCTTCCTCTGTCATCCAGCGAGCTGGAAGCAGAATGGTCGCTGTAAGGCATCACTTCCGAAGCACTACTTTCATTCATTCATTCTGCATTTATCCACATTCACATTCCATTCATCAGCAAGAGGCTCCCTGTCTCGTTCTAGGTATCCTGTAAAAAACCCTTATCGCCCATAGTTCGGTATCACTCCCAGACGGGCATTTCCTTCTTCCCCACAGTCTGACTCACGCATTCTAACTCATACAGTTTCGCCCACTTTTCTAGCTTCAACTTCCAACATCTTTCCCTCTTACCTTTGCCGTTGGTCCAGCTGTTATTCTTCCTCTTCTTTTTTCTTGATCGGATATAGTTGTATATGCTAGTCCAACCTGTTTTATTTTTAATCATTCTCTTAATCACTTCTCTCACTGTAACAAAATTCGCACCTGTCTCTCTTTCCATTCTGTTTGTTTCTACTATTCATATGTTGCAATCTTACATCGTATGTGCCACAGTGTCCGAGTATCCACAGTATGGGCATTCATCTGTGTCAGCCCTTCCGAATCTAAAGGGGTAGGCCCTAAAGTAAGGTACCTGAATACAATATGACCATGTTGGTAATATGCCCATTTCCATGTTTTGCTTTAATATTTGATATTCGGGGAAGGAGGCGCTGGACACACTGAACGCCTAATATAACTAAGCCCGTGACCGACCTCAAGGTTAGTTGTGAGCTTGCCGTGGTGCAGTCAAATTGTACGTGGTTTTTAAGAGCGTGTTTATAAAAATTGACGTCAGTTTTCACCTCTGTTTTGCACTTAAACGTTTTAATTTGTCTACGACATTAAGTGATTTTAGTCTGTCATAGAGTACTTAAAATGTAAGTAAAAATAAAATATATTATTATTCAAAATGTTTTTATAATTTAAGAAAATGTATTAATCATCATGTGTCAACAATATGCCCATAGTGTATGCTGACAATTTGCTCAATTGGGCATATTGCCAGCTAATTATAACAGATAATTTATTGATTTTTTTTGTTTTAGATAACATGCCTCGTGTCAGAAATAAGGAAATACGGTTGCAATGGAGCAATCAACAGCTAGAATCCGCAATTGCAGCAGTAATGAATGGAATGTCATACAATGCGGCAAGTCAAAGGAATAATATTTCTAGACGCACTTTGAAACGCTATGTAGAAAAAAATAGTACCAAAAAGGCAAAAATGGGGAGAAAGACTATTTTGAATATAGATCAAGAAAACGAATTGTCTCGACGAATTGTTAGATTGGCAGAAGTTGGGTATCCCCTTTAAAGATAATTTGCCTCATGGCACGTTGGCGTTGATGACCCCTAAAGGAAGTATGAATGTGGAAACCTTCATTATTTGGTTGGAGCATTTAGCAAAATATAAATTGGAGGGAAAGTGTCTTTTAATATTTGAGGGAGCCTCATGTCACTTAGACATTTCAATTGTCGAAGCTGCCGAGAAATATCAAATAACCCTTCTGTGTTTGCCTAGCAACACAACTCATGAACTCCAGCCGATGGACAAAGCTGTGTTTCGTTCCTTTGAACACCACTGGGATGAACAAGTGTTGTTGTATTGGACCAAATACAAAGAACGTGCTTTAACAAAGCAGCAATTTGGGGAAATATTTTCGATAGTGTGGGACAAGGCATTGACACCTTCTAACATTAAATTAGGCTTTGCTGCAACAGGAATATTTCCTTATAACCCCGATGCTATACTTGAATTTGCTTTTGCCCCAAGTATTTTATCAGAAATTGAGAACATTGATCCCACTCCCATTAATGTACGCCAGAAAACACCATCTCCTACTCCAGGCTGTTCATATAACTCCTCTCAACAAAAAAGGGTACCAAAATATCAAAAGATCTAAGATTACAAAAAAAAAGAAACCTAGAACTGAATCATCATCAAGTGATAGTGATAGCGGACCCATTAATGTACGCCAGAAAACACCATCAACTACTCCAGGCTGTTCATATAATTCCTCTCAACAAAAAAGTGTACCAAAATATCAAAAGATTCAAGATTACAAAAAAAAAGAAACCTAAAACTGAATCATCATCAAGTGATAGTGATAGCGGAACCCATTAATCTGCGCCAGAAAACTCCACCACCAACTGCAGGCTATTCAAAAAGCTCTTCCCAACAAAACTATTTGCCACAATACCAAAAGACGCCAATTTACATGAAAAAGAAGTATAAAACACAAACTTCATCAAGTGAGAGTTCTGGCAGTTATACTTCGGAATCAGACAGCGGCGAAGAAGTTGAATTGGCAATAAATCAGTTTCATAAAAAAAGGAAACTTTTCTTATGAATTCTGAAAAAAATGATTTGGAGGTTTATAACAAAGAGAATAACAATCTTCGAGAAGAAAAAAGTAATACTGAAGAAATAAAAACTTGCCAGGGCAAAACTTTGGACACATCGTTTACGGAAATGCTTGAGACTCCGGCAAAAATTGAGAAAAAAAATACACAAAATAAAAAGAAGGCAATAAATAGCAGAGCTATAGTGGTAAAAAAAATGTATTTTCTACCACTAGCACAGGTCCACGAATAGATATAAATAAAGGCACGAAACAAACTCTACCAGGTTGTTTGGTAAAGAAAAACAAAAAATCAGAAGACGTAGCAAAATGGTTTTTCAAAATTTGCGACAAAGCTGAAATAAAAGACATGCGACTATGCTTTATATGTGTACAGTACGTTCATGAAGAATGTGTAGGGCTGACAAAATTCGATAAGGAATCCTTTACCTGTCCTGATTGTACCCCACAGTAATGTTCCTTAATTTTAAGTTATTTCAGTTAAAAATTCTTTATTTTGACATTTTAGTTTTTACAAAAAGGATTATTTAATATCTTTGTTTGGTTAAATGTTTTTTATAGTGTCAATAAATATAAGATTTTGTAAGTATATGATGTTTTTTAATATTTCTTTCCACATCATTTAGTGTTTTAGGTAAGCGCATATTACCTTCACTCGACTGGGCATATTACCTTCAGGGGTTGGCAATATGCCCAGATTGCGGAGTTTTAAAAAAAAATTTCTATATGAAAAAAAAAATAATTGCCAAACAATAAAAAAACTAGCGATGTTTAAACACCTAAACATTGGTATAGTATTAAAAAATATATGAAAAATATATTTTTGTAGCAATAAATTCAAAATTCCCTTAACATGGGCATATTGTATTCAGTTACCTTACCCGTGTCCTGTGAGCACCTGCGTCAGGAAATAATCCATTCTATTTGCTATCTTTGTATTGATCTTTTTCTTTTCTGTATTTTTTCGGCCATAGTAAGGTTTGGACTTCTTCTCTAATAGAGCTCTTATCTTTCCACTGCCAAAACATGCAACAAAACACATCCAGTTATAGTCCACGCGGCTGCCGCAGACACAGTCCTGTATATTGTTCTGAAGCTATGTTGTTGTGGCATTGTAAATTAATTACTATTTAACTGGGAATAAGCCACAATTAAAGATAAAAATACGTTTATTCACGTTTCAATTTCCAATTCGGAAATCGTTCTCAAAATATTTTATCTTTAATTGTGGCTTATTCCCAGTTAAATAGTAATTAATTCACAGTCCTGTAGGCGCATGCCATTTGCAACAGAATTGTTCTGTCCATTCGTGTAATCAGCCTCCTATAGGTAGTTATCTCTACCGCCTCGCTCCAGACTGGTGCCGCGTAGAGGACAATATATTGTACAACACCGTGTAAGACCCTCCTCATTAACCCTTAACTTGGCGCGCACATAACCGCTGTAAGAAAAATGTTTTTGCTTACTGAATATTACCTTTTGAGGGCTCCATTTTCAGAGTCAATTACATTTTTGTTTCTATTTTAATTTTTTTGACATTTTATTGACGTTGTATCTCATAAGATACACTGCTAGGCGTACGGTATATTACAATGTATCTCGCAAGACACATTGCCAGGTATACTATAAAACAAGTACTGATGACCAATAGATACATTGCCAGGTTATTAGAAAAATACCTCCGTATCCAGAAAGATACATTGCCAATACGTATATTTGTCGTTTGGACCAATATATTAAATAATGTTGGATTAAATGAAAATTATCAAATTTTAACAAAATATAATAAAAACATTAAACAAATCTACAATTTTTCGCTAAGGGTCTTTAGCATTATCAAGACTTTTAGCAAAACAATTGTAGATTTGTTTAATGTTTTTACTACATTTTGTGGAACTGTGTTTTACTTAAGTTATTAAGAACAGATACCATAAAGTAGGGGTTTAAACCATAAACATAATATTTTATCATTTACTTTTAGTAACATAACAATATTTTATCATTTAGTTTATTCAATAAACTACAAAGATGATCAAACATTTATTTTTACAGCTTAAATTCAAAACTTTAAATAAAACTTAGAACACTCAAAAAATAAAAGTAAAAAGTAATAATTATAATTTGTTAAAAAATTAAAAAAATTTAGTTATGAAAATCATAAAAACAATTACGGGATTCCACTAAACATAACCTCGCTCTACATTTTGAACAACTCATAGTTGTTTGTCCTTTGTAACAGTTTCGACATCGTCCTTTGGTTGTAAAAGTTGGAAAAAAGTGTCCAAAAAGATCTTTTCTAACATCTTCTCCAGGTATATTCTGGACGTGAGTAGGAATCTGTTTTTTTTTTTCGGTGTATTAATTCCGTCGGATCTCCTTTTTCAATTTTTAAATAGAAGGGAATCGACAAGTAATATTCTAAATTCCTTTAGACCCATTCCATTTTCTTCGTTCTCCAGTAAATTATTATCTCCGCGATATAAAATCCAAGCGTTGTTGACACATATATCCAGTATTTGGGAAAAAATTGAAAGGTACCACCTGTGGCTTTTAAAAGGTGTTCGATAAAGCGCAACTAGCATATCTGCCAAATCTACGCCACCCATATGTGCATTGTAATGTTTGATAATTGATGGACCTGGTGTATATATATATATATATATATATATATATATATATATATATATATATATATATATATATATATATATATATATATATATATATATATATATATATATATATATATATATATATATATATATATATATATATATATATATATATATATATATATATATATATATTTGTATATATATATATATATATATATATATATATATATATATATATATATATATATATATATATATATATATATATATATATATATATATATATATAATAATAATAAAGGTAAAAGATGGCATTGCAACAAAGGAAAAAAATATATAATAATATATGTGTATAAGATGGTATATTGGTATTTCTGACTATTGGTCGTCTTCAGTACGGTGCAGCCAAGTTAGAAAAAGAGCATATTAACTTGATAAAGGAGAAACAGTTTTTGTAAATTTACATTACATGTTTTTCTTTTTGTGAAAAAAACATAGAATTTTCAACAACTTTGACCAGCTTTTACGGAAATATTCTCAAAATGGTAAGTAACATCAACTTAATTAAACTAGATTGTCAATTTTCATGTGAAACTATTTGTAGCTCATCCCTGATGATGTCGATGACTATCGACGAAATATTGGATTAATAAAGGACTAAAGAGTACACTTAGCCTATCCTTTCAGCTGTTTGTACCCAAAGAGTCTTATTGTTTACTTTATTTTTTAACTTAGCAGCTGTGATTAACACTATATATATATATATATATATATATATATATATATATATATATATATATATATATATATGTATATATTAATATGATATTGTAATTTTGAAATATGATAAAACAATATTTAAATTAATTATGATCCAAATAACTAATTAAAACAAAAAAAATTCTTTAGTGAATTTTATTACGAATATGTAAATAAATTTTATTAACGACGCCAATTTCATAATTCATGTTTTCAATTCTCCAAAAAGCCAACACATTCCAATTCCAAAAATCGCTGTTCTCGAGTTGAGGACCGCTACCTGAACAGCCAAAATAAGTGCACCGAATTACGGACCGAACGAGATTTTAATGAGTAAAGAAACATTTAATATTAAAATATTATTTTAGATTTAGTTTCTTTTGAGCTGTATTGAAAGGTGTTCCAAATGAGTGAAATTAATAGTCATTGTGATTATTACGATTATTGTGATTAATGAGATTCGTACTTTTAATAATATTTTATACCTGAGTATAATGATTTCCTTATCAGAAGTCTTGGTCCTCAATTCGTGCGATTTTTTCAGGTATAAAGGTAAACCCTTACTTAAAATTTTATTTTGATCCTCAATTCGTGTCTGCACCCAAAAATTGTGTATTATACAAAAATATCAGACAAAGACTTTCTACTATCTACTAATGACTTGTTTCCTGGTAACCGATATTAATCCTTGAAAAATGTAGGTAGATTTGATATTTCAATATAACATTTTATTTACTTAAACTAATCTTAAATAAAATGCTAATTTGAAAAGTAAAACTGCAAACCGTAAATCGAAAAAGTGTCCTTTCTTCACAAAACAATATAACTTCACAACACAACAAAATTAAACCGTATATATAAATATGATATAACTATAACATGATTTTACAAACATTTTTTGGTCTTCTTTTTCTCTATTAATTTTTCTTTATATACATATTCGGATTATACATACATATATATATATATATATATATATATATATATATATATATATATATATATATATATATATATATATATATTGTAAAAACAACGACCGTCAATTTATATTAATAAAGTATTCAACTATAATTCAACTATAATAGTGAATATTCAGAGGTTTATTCGGTCATTCAGGTTGGCAAAATAAAACAGAAATCAACTACTTCATAAGTTTATAGAAGACGTTTCGCTTTATACTTCTAAAGCTTCATCAGTTTTCTAAAATACAAAGATGACATAGAGTTTATAAGAAATACATATCTAATAATTTATTACTTACAACTCAATATGTAGTATTAAAGATGTTATTGTATATTATTATGTACTTAAGTTTACTTATAAATTTAGAACTAACTTAAACAAAAATTTAACAGAAACAAAGAACACAAAAACTTTGCAAAAAATAATATTCGCAGAAATATTGGTATTATTTATTTCGTAAGATGAGAGAGCGGTAAACCATGTCAGTTCTTTTGTTTATTGTAGATGGGTTTTTTAGGATGTCACACATTTCAATAATGGAGCGTTTTTGATGGTTATTTTGTTACAAAATGTGTAAACAAATGACATATATGTATTATATATATATATATATATATATATATATATATATATATATATATATGTATTCTATATATAAATATTATATATATAATATATATATATACACATATATTATATATATATATATATATATATATAATATAATATATATATATATATATAGATATATATATATATATATATATATATATATATATATATATATATATATATATATATATATATATGTGAAGATCAACAATAGTTGCATTTGATTCACAAGCTTTTGGAGTACATACAATAAATCAAAAATCCACAAGGAAAATAAATTTTTGAATCTGACTGTATACTATAAATCGCAAATTATAGAACAAATCGTTACAAGCATAATATACCAAATGTTTTTATCACTTTTCTGTTAATCCTCTAATGAGCAAAGTATCTAATAAGATACAATTAGTATTTGTCCGTATACCGGGTAATGTATCCAGAAAGATACTTATTCAATTTTCTTCAGTACCTGGCAATGTACACCCGAGGATACAAACTAAATTGTCGCTTAACTGGCAATGTGTCTTCCTAGATACTACTTTTCAAAGTGATCCTATCTGTTTGTTTATAGACAAATTGTGAATATTATTTTATACAATTATTTGATGAAGACCCAATTAACTATAATTATAGTTTGTCAATCCATACAATAACTATTAATACATAAAAAATTAATTTACTTACCGAATGACACAAATTACCACTTTTTTGGAAGTCATTTTGAGCACGTCTACACAAAACACTCTCTAATTGTGCCAAAACTTTGTGTATGGCATTCAAATTAATTTGTTGGTTAGCCGAATGCTATAGGGAGAGGGTACTTTTAAAATCTTGCTGCAAACTTAGTTTATTTAGAGGAAGTATAATTTAATAAATAACGTATCCTGGAGTGCACACCGTCAAGTTAAGGGTTAATCCTGACCGTCACGTCCACGATCGTGCCCTTTTGTAAAATAAACTAACCTTTGTATTAGTACTAGTTCTGATCTATCCAGTATTTTATTTAAAAACTAACAGTTTTTAAATAAAACGTATGGCATAAATTATTAATACACCTAAAACTGTGTAAGTTACCTGATTTGATCTCTTGTCCATAGTGTTTTATCATATTATAAGACATTCCAGCTCCAGATGTATACATATACATTGGCACCAAGTTCTAAAAAAGCAAAGTGTTTATATAATATCCTTGTTACATTGTTACAAATACTACTAAAATTTACCAGACGCGTCACAGAATAAAGCTAATGTTGCATAACAATTAGCAACAAATATATACATCGCACCCTCAGTAATATAGAGGCACAATTCAAAAAAAGTAGATTTGTGGGAAATCGCGTTTAAAGATTCTGGTATCCGACATTACAGCTATTTTTTCAAATATCGTGCTTATTATTTAAGTTATAAATATGAAATTTGGCAGATTTGTTATTTGATAACTGCACTAAAAATTACAATGAGGAAAAAATAATAATATAAATAAATTCTATTAATTACAAGGAATGGAAAAAACTACTTTCGAGTTAGTCCCGTATAGTATAAAAAACCATAACAGAAATAAGGAACTATTAAAGTTTGATCCCGTATATTATTAGTGTACCTTAAATGGTACTCTATATCACCAATTTCAACCGATGTTTGAATTTATTGTTTCTGTTTTATAAATAAAATATCAGGTAAAATAATAGTAATACTTTATTAATCAGTGCAAAATATAACAATAATCTAAAAAAAATTCAAAACAAGAGTTAAACATAATAAGATAGCTTTAATATTATCACATTTATTATTTAAACTTTTTAATTCCAAATAAAACTTACAAGTAGTAACTCCTCAATTTTTACATTGTCGTTTACTTATTACTTAATTGTATATCACAATATCTCCACAGTAAACTTAAAAAATTATACATAACAAAAAAACATTCATTCCTCCATTCTAAACTTAAAAAACTACAAATAACAAAAAAATTCATTCTAAAAAATAAAGTCTTCAAAAATAAAATTCAGTCTCAAAACTTAATTATTGTACTTTGACTATGTACTCAGTCTACACAAAATAATGTTGAAATCCCAAAGATTAGTAATATTAAGACAACATGTTGTTATAAGACGCATAGTATGGATCTATGAATTAAGATCCTTAAGATCATTCTTTTTAGCACAACGAAGTGGAAGTGCCTAGAGGTACGCTTTCTGCATGGTTATTTCTTTAATATTTGGCATTCTCTTCCTCTTATCACGAACATTAACTATTTTAAACTCATCGTTATATGAGCACTTGTAATAAAACGAAAATGGATCTTCTTTGGTAAATTTCAGTACTTTAATACTATTCCATACAAGATTATTTTTCTGTTCATCTGTATTAAAATTATAGCTCCAATTTTCTTGTAATTTCTGAAGATCGTAAAAAACATTGTAAGTTAAACTGTGAACTATAAATGGAGCACCAGTTTTCCTTGCTCTTTTGATTGCTGAGATTTATTGAACAGGAGAGTATATTGGGCCAGTTTTCCTATCTCTAGCTATCTGCTTTTGTATCAAACTATGCACGTTATCAGCTTCGTTCTGAGTGTGTCCTTTTATGAGATATTTGTGAGTTATCGACGACAAATTTTTTAGATTGGCAACAGCGTATAAGTATAAGCATGTGAGATATTTATTTTTGTTTTGCCCACAACAGTTATCGGAAAAAAATGTTATATTTACTTCCCTGTCACCAGCTTTATCAGATACAATCTGTAAATAATGGAAAACACAGCTCCCTATCTCTGTAGCGCCTCTTTTCGCTTGAGTCTCGTCCCAAAAATAACAATGGACATTTTCATAGCCTTTAGAGATGTCCATTGTTGACACATCGTTTTCGTGAATTTTTTTTAATTCCGTCATAGTGAAATTGTAACTATTTAATTTAGATTTGTAGTAGAATGCTGATGTTTCACCATTAGGACTTTGCATAATGGCTTGTACATCGTAACATACACAAATATTGCACTCATCAATGTTCTGTCTGTCATTCTTTTTTTCCTCCCTGCATACCTTCTTTTCTTCCAAATGCGTATGATATTGATCCCTAAGATTCTGTTTTAGTGGTTCAGTAGGATTTTGGAACTGCAGGCAAAGATCGCATTGATCTTTTTTGGGTTGATAAAAGCCAAGGTTAAATTTTGTGTTAAAAATTTTATAAAACGTGTGATATAGTCCAGCTGGGCGAGACCTTTCCTCTTGCAGTACTTCAAAATCTCTAAAGAGCTCTGCAATACTTTTACCACTGCTGATGTACTCTCTAGAGGTAGATGCTCTTAGATAATGTGACTCAATAGGGGTATAGGGTATAGGGGTATAGGGTTGATGAAGTTGGTGATGTCATTTATAAGCTCATCACTTACACTTTTATTACTATTGTGTTTGCCGCGTTGGTCATCCTTTATGAAGCCCAGTTTTTCTATTATCTTCATGTACATTTCGAATCATCTTATGAGAAATATCAATAGTATTAATAAAAAAGCTTTTGCATACCCTAACTCTTTCGTTGTCTACGGAAAAATAGAATGCATGGTTTGGATTTCGTGGTTTTTCGGCATTGGTATACTTGTACCTAGGTGTAATCTGTGCGCTATTAGACAAAACATACATTCCTTGTAATTATCTATCCCCTAATGCCCAAAATGCACTAAATAATTTCAACCTTTTGGAATCATCGATTCGCTCACTGCATTTGAATCTACATTTTTGGACACAAGGTGGTTTCATATTACGTGCAGGAACCAATTTCTTAGAATGTATAGCTACATAGCTTTGACCCAAGTTTCGTTTCATTTTTTGCGTGTTTTGTATCTATTTGGTTGGATCTGCTTTACGTTTTCTGGATTGTCTTTGAATGTTATCATTTGTCATAGTTACCTTTTTTGTATCAATCGAAGTTAGAGTTGCTGTGATTCGTGGACGTCGACGAAAATGTTCTTGTTTGTAAGTGGGATCGTCATCACTGAAGTCTACGTCGCTTTCCTCTGAATGTATTGAAGACATTATGTAATTACCTACTGTTCTTGATCTAACTGATGGCAACTCATCGCATCTCGATAAGGATGGCATGGAAATATTGGCTTTAGACGTACCTTGCTGAGGAACGAACTCGGATTATATAATAAAATAAAATGTAAAAATTTTACACTACAAACAATGCATTGGATCAATGTAATAAACACTGTTTTAAAACTACAACTTAATTATTTTTCTGTTAATTTAATCGGATCAATTAAAAAAATAGTTAAAATTTTCATGTAAATTAGGGCCAATTACAAAGTTCGCCATCAACAATAAAACAATTTACGTACTATAATGAACCAATAAGATATGATTCCGTATAACATCTCTACTTTTTGGCAATATAGCGAGCTATTATGAATTAGACCCAATTATTAATTACATTTTACATAATATAAGGGCTAAACTAAAAATTGTTCTATATAATACAAAATGTTAAGATACAAACTCACCAGGAGTTTTGTCATAGAAGGGCACAAACACGAATCGCACGACGTTTGAACAGTCCGCCTTTGACGACTATGGACACGTTACTGATTGTTACCTTGTAGCAGTAAAAACAATAGGTTGGCGGGGAGAGTAAGAGAGAGGCACAAATATATTTACCGAGCAACTAATGTCCTATTTCTCTCTCTGTCAGCGCTAACCGGTAGAGAATTTAATTTTGTGCCCATAGCATCTAAAATCTCAATTTACCAAAATTTTGAGTTGATCCCTTATATTACTGAGGGTGCGACATGTACTATAAAATTTAAAATTTTAAAACAAAAGTGAAATGTTTGTAATAACGTACTTGATGTGTGGAAGAAATTACAAAAATGAGTGGCGCTGGGCAGGTCACGTAGCCCGATATAATGACAGCAGGTGGACACGGAGAATTCTAGAATGAAGACCAAGGACGACAACAAGAAGCATGGGAAGACCTCAAAAAAGATGGGTAGATGACATAAGAGCAGTGGCAGGCAAACCGTGGATTAGATTGGCGCAAAATAGAGAAAGGTGGAAGCAATTGGGAGAGACCTACATTCAGGAGTGGATGGAAAATGGTTGACAAAGAAGAATAAGAGACTTGATGTATTACAGCAACAAAATATGGTGTATTGTACTTTACCGTGTAGTATGGAGTTCAATACAGCGGAGGACTAGTAAGTAACTAAAACTGGACTGCCTTTTCAACAAGACATGTTATGGAGCGCTACTCCAGAAGTCCAACGCACATCTGTATAGTTTGAAAGATGAAACTACCATCGGTAAACAACGGCGGGTGGCTAATGAATTGTTTTTTAAGTTAACGCTTCATAATACGGCAATAATTACCTAAGCGATCTGTACTTTTAACGAAAGCACTTATTTTCTATGACTCTTTGTTAACAACATTGTAAAATCAACACTCCATTGTTTGAAACATTGTATCAACAACCGAATAATTCTTCGATAGTGTCTGAGTTATTGTAATCAAAATCTTGGCTAACTATACAGGAAAAACCAAAACTAACAAAAAGTCTGTTAGTATTTTAACAATATTTATATACAGTTGCAAAACTGCAACATCCACTCTTCAGTAATCCTGTTTATAAAACAAATGATCTAATATTTATAAATTATAAGTTTTATCTTACCGTATCAAGTTGGTGAGAATCAAATCCGGAGTTTATAAACATTGATGTTACACAAAGATCTTGTATTGGAGAACCATTAGCACACAGTGTTCTCAATAACTCAGAAATGAAACCGTTAGAACTACTTTCGTAAAGATGCAGCTGCTCTGTCAATTTCTACAAAAAAATATATATAATTATTATAGTTTTATTTACATAGAAAGGATTATTAAAATAAAAAAGGAAATCGTTAGAGAAGCACTTCTAAATTAAAGTCATCTCATTTAAAATTACCAACTTTCTTGTTTCGAATTTGATGGGCAATATACAAGGCAAACATGGCAGTAGTTAAAATAAAGAGTAACGTATTACAAAAGTGATTGCAGAACAAAGAAAAATTCTTGTCCGACAGCATAAAATTCCAACACGACAGGCGACATATTTAATTTATCAGATATCCAGATCTTGGATATAGAAAATAACTATAAAAAAGAGTATTCCTTGAAATGTACCACATCAACAAAAACAAAATGTCAATTAATTATAAGACAAACACCTACAAGCTGAGCGACATCAATTGTAATATTTTAAAATAATAAAATACCAAAAATATCTAACATCTGGTTTGATAAGAAAATTCGTTGGCCGTGGCACATGTGAAAAAAAAAACCAACTCACGAAATCTGTGCCGCATTGTACTTCAGTTGACAGAGAGAAAAATGCCACTGAACCTCTAAAAATCGTACGGACAAACTTAATTTTGTTTAGTCTTAATTTTGTTTGGTTTTTGTTTAAACAAGTTTATTACTTTTACCCCCGAGCCTCCCCTAAAACCTCCCTCGAAGAAGGGTATAAACGCAAAAAATCGATTTACCAAGAATCTGTTCGTCGTAGGAAAAATATTTTAAATAGAAAATGTAGCTGAGATTTTAACAAAAGTAGTAGATAAAAAGTGCTAAATTTTAAGCAAAAATGTTTATTAGCACTTTTTATGTAGAACCGTTTTCTCACAAACAACGTTTTAACACACCATCGCTTTTGAATGTTAGTTAGGCGCGCGAAATCAATATTCAATAAAATTTGTATCAGCTCGACGGTAAAAATTTGATATTTTTTCGATTTGATTTGTGTGTTTTACCGTAAATAAACTCGCGATATTTTCCATTTTTATGATTCTCATGAGATCAATAGAATCTATCCTTTTCATTGACTGGCCACTAATAAGTTTCGATTACTAAAACTTATAGCATGAAATTTTAGTTTTGAGTATTGGCAACAGATGTGAGGCATTTAAAATCTGTTTAAAAAACGTTGGATTTAAACTTTCCCATAATAAACATTCTAAAACGTTTAAAATTTTTTTTTCAATTATACTAGTACATTTTTCAGAAGAACCAAACTTTTGCTATAAACTACATTCAAAAACGTCTTTTTTAAGGCGTTTCCCGTGACGTGCGATTGTTTGTAATGTAAAACATTAAATTCTGCTTTTTGTATTCATATTTCAAATGCCTCATGTTTGTTGCCGCAACTCAAAAGTGAAATTTCATCTCATAGGTTCGAAAGATTGATCTCTAAAAATGAAAATTTTACTCCGAGTGGTCAATGAAAGTGATCAATTTTATTGATCTCGCGAGAATCGTAAAAAAATGGCAAAAGTCGCGCCACGTTTATTTATTTAACACCTTTATATAAACTGAGTTTATTCTCAGCAAAATGTGGAAACTGTTTAGGAAAGCTGAATTCTCTTTCCCTGATTCTCTCTCTCAGTTTTCTTTCCCTGATTTCTTTATCAACTTCTTTTCTTCAACTTCTTCTAGGCCTTACTGGTCTCCGCCTATCTCTTGGTTGCCATTCAAGCATTTGTCTTGGTTTTTTTTTTCGGCATTCTACTTACGTGTCCGCATCATCTGAGTTGTATCGTTTTGATGTCATCATTAATATTATGTGTAACCCCTATGATTTCTCAGACTCTCTGTTTGTTATTCTCTCGCGTCTAGAGATTCCCGCCGAGCTTCGCCAAGTCCATTTCTGTTGCTCTAAGCATTTTCTCTCTTCTGTCTTCTAGGGGCTACACTTCGCATCCATATGTTGTGATACTTTTTATTATGGTGTTGTATATTCTTCTTTTATTTTCCTTAAAGATGTTTTTATCCCACAGTACGCTGTTCAGTAAGGCTATGCCTTTCCTATTCTGTATATTTCGTTTCTCAATGGCTCCTTACTGCTTCAATCAATTCTATATTTTTATTTATTTTCCCTAGTGCCTTCCATAATTTATCAATCGGGACACTATCATATGCTTTCTTAAGGTCTACGAACGTCAGGTGGACTTCTTGGCCACGAGCAATTTTCTTTTCAATTATTTGAGTAATAGAGAAGACATGGTCTATTGTAGATCGATCTTCACGAAAACCAGCCTGTCCTTCGGCTTTAATATCTTAGTAATCTTCTTCTATTTACATTTCAACTTTATTAGATAAATATAAACGTCTATTCGAAAAGTCAGTTGGTGAAATAAAAGGGTTTGAGGCTGAAATTCATTGAAAACCTGGTACTAAAGCAAAATTTTCCAAGTCCCGTCCAATAGCTTTTGCATTATGCCATAAAAAAGTAGAGGCAGAATTAGAATCCTTAAATAAAGTAGCATTTTCAGACTGGGCAACCCTTATTGGTCCTATAGTTAAGCAAAATGGAAACATTTGTAGTGATTTTAAAATCACATTAAATCCTTGCATTGAAATGGATGAATACCCTTTACCTACACCAGATGATCTACTTTCTGAATTAACTGGTTGGGAGAAATATACGAAAATATATATTATGAAAGTTTACTTACACTTGCTAATTAAAGATAAAATGAAACATCTAGTTACATTTAACACCCATAAAGGTTTATTTCAACCAACTCGATTAATATTTGGAATTGCTAGTGCTTCTGGCAAATAGGAGCGTTTAATGGAGCAAATGCTACAAGGAATAGATGGCATTTAAAAAACTATTTAGAATGCAATAAGCACAAGAACAACCCAACTAAAGATAACTTTCATATATGGGAGCCACCAAAATTTTGCTTTGAAAGAGTGTATGTTGATTAGGCTGCACCTTTCAATGGAAGATATTATTTTGTATTAGTAGATTCCTTTAGCAAATGGCCTGAAATTCATTTTAAAAAAAATACTACTATAAAAACTACTATTGAAATTTGCCGAAAAATTTTTGCAACTTTTGGTATTACTAAAGTTTTTGTTACTGACAATGGTAGACAATTCGACTCTCATGAGTTTAGACGTTTTATAAAAGATAATGGAATTACACAAAAATTTACAGCACCCTACCATGCAGCAACTAATGGACAGGGGAGAGATATGTCCAAACACTAAAAAATTGTTTAATGACTATGAGCAGTGAGGAAAATGACAGTGAGTTCGATTTATGTAGGCTTCTTATGCAGTACTGCAGAAGTCCACATACAATTACAGGCAAAAGTCCCACAGAACTTATGTTAGGAAGACAAATAAGGAATACACGAGATTTACTTAAACCTTTTTGTAGTGACAGAGTTACCTATACCAACAAAAGTCTAAGAAACTTTGATACAGGAACTAGGATTTCAGTGAGAGATAATGTTCATTCTTAATGGCAATTTGGGAAAATTGTACTAAGATTAGGGTTATTACATTATTTAGTTCAGTTATGGTAGAATCTGGAAACGTCATGTAGACGAAATACGGCAAATTGAGATACACCATCTCAAAATAATCAGACATGTTACAGTATGGATATCATTACTCACAATTTAGTTGCAAAGGAGGCATCCATTCTAGTACACAGTGTTTCACCACCACCTACCGAAGTCAATACTGAGAAATCGAAAATTTTAAATAATATGGACAGTTCCAATATTGTACCTGAAACTCAAAATAAAACTGAGGAAGCCATTCTAAGGCGTTCCACTAGTAAGAAAACCTGTTACTAGATAACGAGAAAACCTGTTTTCTGAGTGATAGTCGAGGACGACTGTCACTCGAGGATTCATAAAAAGATTACGTTTGTATACTTTTCCGAAATAAAACATTTTAACATAATTTACATTAGGTTATTACAATATTAATAAGGTGATTAATTACAATTACGTCTTTCAAATAGGAAACAGACCACACCAAGAATTAGATTTTACGAACAAAATCGATTTCAAACTACTGAGAGATAATTTTTTAGCAACTGAATACAGTTTAAGTGAGCAAGAAGAATTCTACGACGACACCCAGTCTGTCAACAGTAAAGGAAATGATAGCGAATATAATAAAAACGAGAAAGATTCAGTCTCATTCGCAAATAAACCTGCAACGAAAAGCAACAAAAGTATGTACTGCCAGATACATTTACCGTCATTTACCGTCATACCGTCATCAAAAATTTTCCTATAGAGTTTTTTAATGAAGGAGAAAACTTCTGTTAGACTACCAAAAAGCGTTTGATCGTGTCCAACACCACAAGTTAATGCAGATTCTCAAGAAAGTTCATATAGACCAAAAAGACATAAGATGCATTGAAAACTTGTACTGGCATCAAACGGCACAGTTAAAAATAGACAATTCTATATCCAAGCCCATACATATAAATAGAGGCGTTCGACAGGGATGTGTGCTGTCCCCTTTTTTATTTAACATTTATTCGGAAGCCATATTTTAAGAGTCTTTGGAGGATGCAGAGATGGGAATCAAGGTGGATGGAGTATTGATCAACAACATACGATATGCTGATGATGGTGTCTTAATTTGTGACAACATAGTCGATCTTCAACAACTTGTCACTATAATCGGAGAATACAGTAAGCGAATGGTATTAGAGATTAATACCAAAAAGACCAAATTGATGATCATCTCCAGAAACTTGGATGCACTTGAAAACTCCACCATAACAATGAATACTAAATCCATTGAAATAGTGAGTAAATTTAAATACCTGGGATCGTGGCTTTTTGAAGACTGGGCATCGGACAGGGAAGTAAAATGTCGCATTGAGCAAGCTTGACAAGCTTTCGTAAAATTCAAGAAGGTACTGACTTGTTCAGAGTTCGATCTTCAACTGAGACTAAGGTTTACTAAGTGCTACGTATGGTCAGTGCTGTTATATGGCGTAGATGGCTGGACACTGAAAACGAGGGATATAAACAGATTAGAAGCTTTCGAAATGTGGCTTTATCGCCGTATCCTAAAAATACCATGGACAGCGAAAATCACAAATATAGATGTCCTTAAAAGAATAAACCAAGAACGCCAACTTTTCGAAACCATCAAGAAAAGGAAAACGTCTAGGTCACATCATGCGAAATGAAAAATAAAAGTTCCTCCAACTTATAATCGAGGGTAAAATTAAAGGCAGGAGAGGAATGGGACGCAAGAAAATGTCTTGGCTCCGAAACATAAGGCAATGGACAGGGATTAACGACATATAATATCTGATACATATTGCAAGAAATAGAGAATTAATGGAAAATGTGATCGCTAACATCCGTTAGTGGATTTGCATCCGAAGAAGAAGAAGAAACTTCTGTATCTCGCCTTGTTGATGGTCGCAAACAGAGATGCAAACTTGTATCCTGCAAGGGTCAGTCTCTAGAACGGTGTGAAAAATATCAAGTTTTCTTATGTTACAATAAAAAAAAAATTGTAAAAAAAATATAGTGAAATAAATAGTTTTAACTAAATAACATGAGTAATAGTATTTTACCATCAACCTAGTGATGACAATTGCCACAGCTTCCTAGTGCACTTTAATGATGGAAGAAAACATTGTACAAAAAAGACAGGTATTAATTATACTTGTTAAGTAAAAAAACGTCACGGCTGAAAGAACTAGAAAATTTTTATACTTCGAAAAACTACTTTTTTTTCACCTTAAATTTTTTTGTGTATAGAATACTAAATAACACATACTTACCGTTAGAGCTTCTACATACGTTGCAGCTAGGCGCAATAAGGGTGCGCTTAAATGTCCCATATAAGCAATCGGGGCCATTGCTGACATTAATGCTATCTTGTCGTTATATTCGGGCCTTAAAGCCGCCATTGCAAAGAATTGACTTGTACCTTGAGAGAATCCTACGTAGAACAATTTTTGTTCTCCAGTTTTTTGAAGAATGTAGTCTATTGTGGCTGGTAGGTCATAATAACCGCATTTTTCGAAGCTAAAAATTATTTATGCATTTGCGTTTTGATTTGGACCATAGTTCATGTGTAAAATTTTTGAGAATAATCTGTAATTTTTAGAATTACAGATTGGTAATATGTTCACGGTAAATAACAAAGAATCATCAATTTGAAAGACCGGCCGCGCCTACATTATGATCAACCGTATAAATCAATGATAAACGAGCTGTAATAACGGATAGATTAAAGATAGATTAAAGATCTTTAAAATCAAAATAATTAGATTCGCAGAAACAATAAACAAACAAAACACTAAAAATCATAAGATAAAAGTCCATACGAATTTTTTTTTGGGTATTGAGATTATAACATTTAATATAAATATTTTTCTGCTGATAAACAAGATAATAATTAAGTAAAACAATTCTACAGGCATGTATTAGATCTGTATATTACGAGCTTGGAACAGTAAGTGTGAACTCGCAAAGTGGACGTTTCAAAAACAGTCCCATCTTTCTCACAAACCTTTAAATAATGATTGTGTATATTATACAAGCATGTTTCGCCCTTTATATTTCTATTTAAGTCAGAAACTAAACTACATAATCGTCTAGAAGAGCAAGGGCGAACCGTTGGCTTTCGTTGCGTCTTCGTTCAAGGTTCGCCTCTTCTCTGCTGTAACCTTGTCAACGCGCCGGTGTTTCTGTAGTTAATGAGAGATAGTCTCAGATATATGCGTTATTTTTGAGTTTTTTGGGTACCATAGTGTGCTTGTTGTAGTTTTAATTACTCGTATTTCAAGAAAAAGGCAACGTTACCTTAGCTTTAAAGTTGTTTTGCTTTTCTTCTGATTTATTTTAAAAATTAACGCCTAGAAAACGACAAGGCGGAAGCAAAAGAAAATGGAGCAATGGCTTGTTCCCGTGTGTAAAATCAAACGAAACTAAGGTAAAGAAATACAAAGAAAACTGTATCTGCGCGCACAATCGGACTGTCATATGAGTGTAATAAAATGTGTTTTGAAAAGTTGGGCATAAACAATATCGATATGGGAGCGTATACTTGAAATTCTTACTTTTAGTTCTTACTTTTTTATTATTTTATCCAAAATCAGGTTAAACAATATAGGACTCAGGGAATCTCCTTATCTTATCCTATGGTCAGCTTCAATAGGGTCAGTTATTCCTTATTCTACTTGTACTTACTGTTATTGTGTTGCTTTGATATTTTCGATTGTGTTAATTATTCTTAGAGGTATCTCTTTTGCGTGCAATAAGTGGATAACGTCCTTTAACATGACCCGATCAAATGCCTTATGACCACGAAATAAAATGGGCAAGTTTGTTTTATTCTAACGATTTCCCTTGCGTTGCCTTATTATAAATATAGCGTCGATGCATGTTTTTCCCGTCCTAAAACCTTGTTGTTCTGTTGCTAGTGTTATAATTTAATTTACTTTATTTATTATCACTTTGGTTATTAATATTAGTGTTATGTTTAAGAATTTAATTTCTCTGTAATATTCCGGGTTCGATGTGTGTCCCTTTTTGAAGAGAGGTATTAGGATGCTTGATCTTTATCCTTGAGGAATTCTGTTTTGTTTTATTATTCTTTGGTTTAGTTTTAGTAATTGTTTGGTCAAATTTTGTCCTCCGTACTTCAGGAGTTTGTTATTCGGTATTGTTCGGTGTTGTTTCGGTATTCTGTCCCCTCCTGGTGATTTTTTTATTTTCTAATTTCCGTAATGTTTCCTATACCTCTTCCTTCTTAATTTTTATTTCTTTGTTTACTGTCGCCTTTAGTGTTTGTAGTTCATTAATGTCACCTTATCGTCACCAGCAAATGAGGATCGAAAGTAATCTACCCATGTTTCCTTTTAAATGTGTTTCGTACTTATTAGTTCATTCATGTCTTTTCCTTGTCCTCTCACCATTTTCCATATATTTTTTTTGTGTTCCGTAGAAGTCGTGTTCCATCTGTCGTGTGGTTGAATGCCTGTTGTATTTTTTTGTTCTGTATTTTTAAAATGCAATCAAAAATTAATATTTGTTAATTATAAAAGTAAAATAAATAATGCTAAATAATGCTAACAAACCCCAATCCAGTATATAATTAATTATAGTTGGATCTAAATTCATTTGTATAAAATATGTATATGTATAAAAATATCAAACGCTAAACAATATAAAATAAAAATAATTTGAGTTAGTGGTTTAAGCACCAAACTAAGTGCTAGTGCAAACTAGTGGTTTAAGAAATATACCTACCTATAATCCCAGAACTCTTCGTCAATATCAGGATTTAAGCGAATGTGATTCCTTGACCAAAGATTACCTCTATTATTACCTAACCATACATCATATCCAGCATCTGCTAAAACAAGACCTAAACCTTTCTCTGGTCCCCAAATCACCCAATCTATGGAACTGCCACCAAGTCCATGCATTAAAAGAATTGCTGGGTTTTGCTTCTTACTACTTGTAAAGTAAGTTTGATTTCGTCCACTGATGCGATGAACTTGTAGAACATAACCATCTTCTGTAGTAATCCAGTGGTTCTCAATCGGATAATTTAAGTCTTTTAACAGGGTGTGCTAGAATTAAATAAAATGTTCACTGATAAATTATTTAATAAGGAATGAGATAAGTTTAAGAATTGATTAACAAACTCACGGACCTTTATTCAAACTTAATTCTTCTTTGACTCTGATTCATTACACAGCCAGTACTGTATGTCAGACTATTATCTTCTTGTACAAAAGACATTACATTCATTCTCAAATCTCTACTAAAATTGAAAGAAACAGTACAATTATTACATATAAAACACTGCTGAGGCCGAATCTGACATAAGGGGCAGAAACGTGAACTCTAATGCAGAAGGATCAAATAATTTTAAAAATATCTGAGCGTAAAATATTTGGAGCTATTAGCAACCAAGGGTAGTGGCACATAAAATTTAATTTCTAATTATACCAACTCTTTAATGGGCCAGAGGTCGTAACGTTCATTAAAACACAGCGAATTAGATGGGCTGGATATATATTACAAATGGTAGTTAATACAACTACTAAAAAGCTAACGACAGGAACACTTATAGGAAGAACACGCACAATACGAATATACGAAAAAAAGTAGGTAGTTATATAAAGTTAGGATGCGGTCACAGAAGTAACCTCATTAGTTACGCAAGATACAATGAGATGGGTGGCTCTCATTTTGCTTGACATCAAAAATGCCTTTAATAGGGCATCATGGGAAAAAATCATGTCAAGGCTGAGAGAATTGGATGTTACTGAGTACCTGTTCAATGTAATTGAGATATATTTTACTGACACGTCCATAAGAGAAAAAGATCCAGCATCAGTTTGTCGCTGGGTGTTCCGCAGGGTTTAGTAGTAGGCCCCATCCTATAGACTGTCCTGTACGATGGGGTGTTAAGGCTATAAATGCCAAGGGAATGCACTCTTGTAGCTTATGCCGATGATCTCGTACTGGTTGCGAAGGCGAGTCAGAAAACGAACATGCTTAATGCGGCTAACACAGCCCTGCGTCGCATTAGTACGTAGATCAGAGAGAACGATCTACAGCTATCGCCTTAGAAAACTAAGGTGTTAGTTCTTCTAAGGAAGCCAGGAAAAATCCTCTCGTCGCTTTATAGTGGAACTGTGGAGGTTGCACCGGTTAAATCTGTTAAATATCTGGGAGTCTGGTTGTGAAAAAGACTAAGGTTTGGAGTATACATTCAAAAGACGGTAGAGAAGGCAAACCGAAATTTGGAGGGGTTGGTACGGCTGATGCCAAACATTAGATACTTTATAGAGTTTTCCAGCCGATCATAACCTACGCCGCCCCCGTGTGGCGAATCGTACTAAACACTGCGAAATATGCTAAGCTGATGGAGACTTCGTAAAGGCGAATGCTTCTCAGGGTATCTAGAGAGAGAACGAACGATAGTAGAGTAGCAGAGATAATGGGCAAATGATGGCAGAATGGCAAGGTAGACGAAGGAGCTTATTCCTGATCTGAGGCCGTGGTGGGAATGTAATTTCAAGAAACTAGACTACTTCGTGACGCAGTTTCTAACCGGACATGGTAGTTTTGGCACCGTCACAAATAGAATACCTCGGCAGACTGTACTGTTTGTGGTTTACTGGATACTCCCATCCATATTTTTAACTATCAGAGATGGGCAAGTGAGAGGGAAGATATCGAGAGGCAAATGGGTTTTGGGCTGGATGAAAGAAACATTGTAAACATAATTGTTGAGAGAAGAGAAAGAATGGACAGAAGTACACTGTCTGATTTCTGGGGCGATGAAGAAAAAGGAGCAGAAGGACAGAGGAGGAAATTGAGGGATCTGAAAGTTATGGTTCATATTATTTATTATCTTATAGCCTAACGGCTGAAACATTATCTGATTTACGGTAATAGGTATATTTATTTATAAATTTTTAGTGTTTTTATTTTCGTTGTTTATTGAGTGGCAAGACTACCTCTCTGGAACGGTGGTTAAGGTTTTAGTCGGAACACGGTTACTCCGGCACTACCCTGTGGTCTTCTAACCTAGTATCCTACTCGTCCGAAAGATGCCAGGGTGTGTTGTTCCATGACGTAGATGTCCAAAAAATATTTCCTCCACCGTTGCCTGTCAGAATTCAATGAATACCTTCCTAGGCTCTTACTGGAATCTGTCAAAACGGCATTTAAAAAAAAAGTTGAGATCGGCTTAGGGATACTAAAAATCAGAACATGGCAACACGTCGCCAGAAACCGAACCGAATAGCGACTATTTTTATAGCAGCATAGGATTCACAGAGGATTGTCGAGTCAAAGGTAATGATAATTAAAAATCTGAACAGTTAAGTGTCTTTTCGAACGAGAATAAAAAAAATTTAAGTATTTTTTTTAAATACTCGTTGAAAGTAAAACGCTTTCTTTTTTATTCGCGTAAATTGTTATAACCACTTGTTTACATAATGCTTGCTATAATCCTTGTTTTTAAAACTGCGTCTGATAACACTTTTTTCTATTAGTCAGATCTAATCATACCACCTGATATTTGACTTTATTTAGATGATCAAGGAACATCTTTCTCGAAAAATAGCGTTATTATATTTCTGACTATAGAGAGAGAATCAGTTCTGTGGTATTCTCCCGAAAATATTTATCTAAAGGACAAAATAAATATCTTTAGTCCCAAATATTCCTCTGCTTTTTTTGTCTTTGTTGATATTGCTTCTGATGGACGTGGAATACGTTGGGATGCATGGGATACATTGGTATATATTGGTATACTTTCAATATGTTTGGATATTTTAATATACTTTGATAAATTTACGGACACTTTTGAAGCTCCTTTGCGAAGCAACAATCTAGAAATCGTACCTATATATTATAATCTTGTTTCATATTACGGTTCGCTTATCCAGTGCATTTACATAAAAAAATTTCTAAATTAAATAATATTCCTTGATTTGTTTTCTATCTATCTATCTAATTAGCGTTCTTCGGTCCATCTTTGGACATAGGCCTCCCCAATCCTTTTCCATTCTTCTCTGTCTGTCGCTACAGTCATCCATCTAGAGCCCACGTGCTTCTTGATATCAATTGCCCATCTCATTTAGGGCCTTCCTCTGCTTCGTTTATATTCCCACGGTCTCCAACTTATAAGAATTTTGTTCCATCGGTCTTCTTTTTGTCTTATATTGTGTCCGGCAAATCTCCATTTCAATTTTGCAACTTCTTGTCTAACATCCTCACTTTTGTTTTCTCTCTTATCCACTCGTTTCTCATCTTATCCATTAGTCTTATGTGCAACATTTGTCTTTCCATTGCTCATTGGGTTTTTATGATTTTGTCCATGTTTGCTTTTGTAAATGTCCACGTTTGGGAACCATAAGTAAGAACAGGGAGTACGCATTGATTATATACTTTGGTCTTTTCATCTTTTCATCATTTCATATCACAGCTAAGATGCTGTGGATATCTTTTGTTTTTAAGAATGTAGCTTAGTTGGCCAAATGCCGCCCATGCCAGTCTAACTCGTCTCATGATCTCTGCTGTTTGGTTCTCTTTGTTAAGTTTTATAGTTTGACCAAGATATATATATAATCCTTAACTTGTTCCATTTTATCTTGTCCGATTCTCATTGTGATGTTTTCATCTGTATTTGTTATAGTTTTGGTCTTGCTGTAATTCATATTAAGGCCTATCTTTCCAGCTTCTACGTTTTGAAATGATGAAAGAACTGGACGTAGAAGCTGATTTGTTTTAACATTCATAAAGTGTTTATTCTTCTTAGAAAAAATGTAAAAAACTTTTTTTTTATTTACTAGGAGTTATTGATAATTTTAGCATTTTAACCGTTACATGTTTTGGATTGCAAAATGGATATTATTAATAGTAGTTTAACAACATTCTAACGCACAACATACCACATATAACTGCTGCATCTCTCGAAAGATGCTGTGTGTTTGAAAATATTCAGGATGCATCGACCGGCTGACAAATTGAGGCGTTCGTACAAGCGAGAATAGAGGTGGACTATTCCAGATTATTCTAGTACAATACACAACGAGGCAAAGAAGTCAATATCTTTAAGTTTTTTGATAGCAAGAATCATTTCAAATAAAACACTTACACCTGTACTTCCCAACAGCTGGTTTTGAAGTTGCAGGTCAGAAATTGTTGGGTTTCTTCTAGATACTTGGACAATAAAATGATCGCTGTTGTTACTTTTTGGCGACTTTATCTTAGTTTACTAGCATCGGTTTCTGACACAACGCCTTGTTTTATGCCTACCACTGCAGCTATGTCTCTTTGAGATATTCCTAACTCCACAAGACCAAAAATCTTTCCCCTTTGCACATCCGTTAGCCCCATATAAGGCATATATTAGTTTTTAAAGGCGAAAGTTAGTTTATTTATTTTCCGTTTTCTTTTTAATCAAATAAAAGGCAGATATTGAGCGAGTACAGTTAATTTTTTATTTAATCATGCCCAAATACTTTTGCTCTCAGGAGCACCTGGAGAGGAATTTCGTCAAAATTGGGCTATCCAACAATATATGGAGAACGTCATTAACATTCAATTATACATTAACATAACACACCACAAGAAGAAACAGTTTAAATATTATTAAAAATCGATGAAGCTACAATTGGGTGGCATCAGGAGAGAGAATCGAGGGCTTCTTTTCGAGTATTCTTCTTTCGATTCATTTTTTCGAGCCTTCAACCTAATATCAGTTTATTTATTTTCGTTCAATTTATAACTAAAATAAATAATCTATACCGTACCGGGCTGTGTTATATGCTTGTGTTATTGGTTTGTTCAATAAAAACGTCTATTCTTCGCAACAATAACTAAGTTTTTTCAAAAAAAAAATTAATTTTGGTTTAAAATACATGGTTATTTTATATAAGTTTGGTTTTGTGTATGAATAATTGAGTAGGGTCATTCCAAAGTAAATCTTATTGCTTTTATTTATTTTTTCCCCGGTCATAAGCTAAGCGGCGGACACGAACAACCGTGGAAAGAATTTGTTGTGCTTTAGTTCTGTTGTTTTAACGTCACTGCGGAGATATAATTG